GGGGGGGGCGGGTTTGGGGTGCTTGAGGCTTCAGAGTTTGTGATTTTTTCGGTTTCGGGGTTCTCGGAGTTTGGATTCCCGGGGATGGGATTATAGGCTTCTTCAGACCAAGGCACTCCAAACACATTCCATTAAAGAGGTGCGTTAATATAGTCGGAGGACGGAAGAAACAGTGTTGCTAGGAGTGTAGTTAGCGATCGCAGCAGTTATGTTGTTGGGCTTGGTATTCTTGTTGTGCTGTGATTGTTGTACGAGTTGACCAACTGTTGCACTACCACTTTTGTTTGACATGGTGCAGGTTTTGGTGCCGCTGCCGCTGGTCTTGTTGTTGCGGTAAGTACTGCCAATTTTGCTCCTCCCACCATTCGCGGTATCACAATCATGATTGTGGTGCTTGCTGTGATGACGGGTGTTATTCTTGCAATGGTCTTGCCAGCACAGCTTTCACGATTCTTGTGAGTATTGCATGCCAGCAATAGTACACCCATCTCCGATGTGGCCCCCACTTAGTATTTCCACTCAAGTGCTGGAGGTTGAGCAGGTTGAAGGGTATGTCAGTGTGACCCGAACACTAAAGCCTCAACCCCAAACCTAGTCTGAGAAGCTTTCCTCACAAAACCCAAATCCCGAGTCCTGTAGACTTCCCAAACCAGCAGAAAATCACAAGCCCTGAGCCCTGAAGCCCTAAACCCTAAACCCTATAAAGCCCTGAGCCCTGAAATGAGCCCGTGCAACCCCAAGAAACCCAAGCAGGCGCACCTGTCCTCCGTGTCTGCGTACGGCAGGCTGCCGAGCCCAGAGTTCAGTCTTTTGGTCAGAGGTTTTGGCTTTAAGGTGTAAGGTTTGTTTATAGTTTCCGGGCTTGAGAGTTAAGGGTTTCTGCGGTTTGTAGTCTACAGACGCAGCTCTCATGCGATCTGCGCAGACTGGGCCTTTTCGGAAGCGGTTCTCGAGGCAGCAAAGCATATCGACTAAAAGTTTCACAGAGCAAGTGTGACACAAGGACAGTCTATAGGATCTGTTGTAGTTGCCGCCGTTACCATTGTTACGAGGGCCGTCGCTGTTGTTGTCATGCCTATATGAGTATTATTGCTGTTATTTTGTTGCGCTTGTAATACATTGTCGTCACTGTTTTTCTTCTTGCTGTTGCAGTTCTCTGTTATCCTTGAACTATCTCTGTAATACCAGGTTCAGTCCTCCAAGTAATTATGCTTGTCACTACTATCACCGATATTGCTAATGCCACTGCAGCTCGCATCGTCTTGTTGCCACTGTTTTGGGTATTTCCTCTATCTTTCTACGAGTATAGTAGCAACCCTTATAGCGGCCCTCAGAGTACCCGTTATAGTAGGCCTTATAGCGACCCTTATAATAACCCTTTAGTAACCCTTTATCGTGTGCATATAGCAACTCTTCTAGCAACCCTTATGGCAGCCTTATAGCAACCCTCTGCTACGTGTCGTCGTAGTTTGCCTTGCTCCAAAGACGCCAGGCTGGCCTGGTCTCAGGCGAAGAAGAAGGGGCTACGGGCCAACCCCAAGCAGCTCCTGCAGAAAGCCAAGGTAAGGCCAAGGGATGACCTTGCATTGGGGGTTTAGGATACGGGGTTCAGGGCATTCGGCACTAATAAGCATAGGGTTTAGGGTGCATGAGGGTGCAAAAAAATGGTCTAGGGGCGTGTTCCCTGTGACAACTCTACAGGCAGCCAGCGACTTCCTCCTGGCCTCTGGGGACAGGCGCAGAGGCATCGCTGGCTGAGGGAGCCGTGAACCTTTGCAGCCATGCCAGGCGATTTGAAGCCGAGGCGAAGTTCTTGATGGCCAAAGCCCACCTCAAGGCACTTGGGCTGTGCAGAGGGTCTGTCATACAGTGTGCCTTGGCCGAGAAATCTTAAGCCGTGCTAGACCTGATTTTGCAGAGGCGGACAATGTGGAGACTGCAAGCAAGGAGGCACTGATCTGAAGTTTGTGTTTGACCTGTAGGATCCACCGCAAGCGCACCGGGGTGGAAGGATGTACCGTTGAGTCCGGTCGCTTCGGTTCTGCTACGCTGCGAGGCCATGAGTGCTTATGACCTCTATGCCACCTTGAGAGATGGGCGAGGAACTCAGAGGACGAATCGCCTCCCGTGGCCCCCAAAGCTTTTGATGACGTCGTTTGACATAGAAACCTGAATAATTGATGACCTATTCCTTAGAGTTCGCGATTGCGGTAACACATACCACGAAATCCTATTCCAGGAATTCTAAGACCCGTATATTACGTGTTTATGAGAATGTCAGAAGATCAAAAGGACGCTACTACTGACACCAAATTGTAGGATCCTGAGAACAAACCACAACTACGAAGCAACAAAGCCCACATTTCCAAGTCTTGAGGCCCCTATATCAGTCTTCTATCAATCGTCAACCCTAAACCCCAAACCCGAGTCCCTAAGCCCCAAACCCGAAACCCTAAAAAAACATCCCTGAAGCGACTCTCAGGCAGGGCCTGGGCTGGACTGGGCTCCTCTATTCCTCCTGCCTCCTGAGGCCGACCCTCAAGGGGTATCAGGCCCTGGTTTGAAGGAGTTTTTTTTGGGGGGTTGCTAGGTCTTGACATTGAGGGGTCGAGAGTAGGGGGTGCGGGGGGGGGGGGGGGTTGTAGGGAGTTGTCGGGGTTAGGATGTAATTAGCCTCTGGGGTTTAGGGAGTGACGCACGCGGAGCTCCGTGCCTGCGATGAGTGTGGCAGGTCTCCTGCCAAGATGATGACCAGCGGCATGACAAGCATCACCTCGAAGGAGCATCTTGAATTGTTGAATTGGTCTGTTTCGGGCTGGAAGAGGTGATAGAGTTTTTGCAACGGGACTGATGTGCCGTCCGAAGAACCATGAGGAACCCAACAGCAACAGAAAGTCTGAATGTCAGGAGGTGGAGATGCCCCAGTATGACGGAGCCTTGCAGGTGGGGGGGACCCCTGGCTTGGGAGCTGTAGCGGCGAAGGCAAAAGCATTAGGCAGGAGTGGAGTCGAGTCAAGTGTAGCAACAGTTCAAGAGATGTCTACTTGGAGGTTCATGGGTAGTTATAAACGAGGTTATAAGTAGGGTAACTGTACTTATAGCCCATATTAGGGGACTTATAACTCCACTTATAGCTACCCATGAACCTCCAAGTACCGTGATAACGACGAGAAATGATACGACAGTACCTGACCATCCATATCGTCAATTCCCTTCTCTGCTTCCTGTTCATATCAACAGCCACCAACAACAGCAAGAGTTAGTACGGCAACACAAGCTAGAGCAGCAGCAAAGTGCAGCTGCTACTGCTGCTTCTACTGCTAGTTCGACCTTTTGCTGCTACTCCTGCTCCCACCGTCACGACTACCACTGCTACCACTACCGCTGCCAGTACCACTACCACTACCACTTCCACGATTACCACTACCACGACTACCAATACAAGTACCAGTAGCAGAACCAGCACCAGCCTTCTACTACTACTGCTACTACTACTGCTGCTGCTGCTGCTACTACGACTACTACTACTACTACTACTACTACTACTACTACTACTACTACTACACTACTCTACTACCACTACTAGTACTACTACTGCCACGGCTACTGCTACTGCTACTGCTACTGCCACTGCTACTGCTACTGCTACTGCTACTACGAAGACGACGACGACTGCTTCCACTACTACTGCGTGCCTGCGGCTGCGACTGCGAAGGCGACTCTGACTCCGACTGCGACTGCGACGACGATGGCGACGATTCTGCTGTTGCTGCTACCGCTGGTGCTGGTACCCGTATTCTTACTGGTACCGGTGCTGCTACTGCTACTGGTACTGCTGCTGCGCTGCTACTGGTTGTGCGATTTGTTGAGAATCGAAATCGTGCTGGTTGTGGTGATTGAGAGGTTGATGTCGTCGTTGGGGTCGATGTCTTCGTCGAATTAGCAGCAGCAGCCGTCGTCAGGTACGTTATTTAGGGGTCCTGCTACCATGGGATCCTGCCATCCATGTTCATTGGAGGTCTCTTGACACTCTCGCTCTCAAGCGCGGTGACTCGTACTACAATACAATAGTCCTTCCAAGACAAGCTTAGGCAGAATGCTATTGAAGTGATGAGGAGCGGTTGATAGTTTATTTGTCGGCGGTATTCCGATCATCCCTATCATCAGTATAGCCACTCTTAGTAAGATGTTTGCGTTCTAGTACTACTACCGCTGCTATCAGAATGGCTTTTGTTGTGGCTATCAGAGTTTCATCTCTCGGTAGTCTGCTTCCACGCTCGCGCGAAGGCGGCATTGGTGGCACACAGCACCTTCAGGCGATGTGGTGACGAGGAGCCGTACAGGCATTGGTTTCTGACCATGGAACAAGAATTGAACCACACTTGCCTTGAACTCGTCTTCGCGTGTTTTCGGTTCAGGGTTTACCGTAGGGTTTTGGGGGTTCCTTGTTATAATTATAGTAAAATATACCCCAAACCTATTCTAATTATTAAGGCCTCTACATTAGGGTTCTGGGCTCAGGTTCAGGGTGTAGACCTCAAGCCGAAAGCCCGCTCTAGGGTGCGAGTGTCAGGCCGCCGCTGCTTGCGTGCTGCCAGGAGGGTGTGGAAGCTGCGCTCAAGGCAATCCACGACATCCGCTGCTCAATGGGAGGAGGCTTCTTGAACCCGCAATACTCCCTGGTCTCGAATTAGAGCACAAGCAATCGTGGTGGTGGTGATGGTTGTAGTTTGTAGTAGTAGGCGTTGCGGCAGCAGTGGGGTGGAGGTGATGGCTAGAGTCGCAAGGTTAGTGCTACTGATTAGCGACAGTCGACAAGGGAACACCCTCAGCACCGGCACCTGGAACTGTAGCCGCGGTGGCATGAGAAAAAAAACCGCCGAAACGGTGCTTGCATCCATGGCGGCGACAACAGCGGTGATAGCCAGTGGAGCGTTTGCAACTCACATTGTTCGATGAGCCTCGCAGGTGCCTCGTCCGGGGAATTACCAAAGGATGTGCCCCGACCGAGGTGTGTGGGCTTGCGGGGGCCGAAAGGGATGGAAGAGCCCGGGCCACGCTGACGTCTGGGATATTGTAGTAGTATAGTATGTCATACTATGTTGTAGCATATCATAGTATGCTCTTGTGTATTCTCGTATATCGGGATTGGGTCTGACTGCAAAGGTTTGGTAAACCCTGAACCTGAAATGACGAGAGGCCAATGCCACCCGCATTCTCCTCAGCAGCGCCAGCGATCGTGAACCCCTATCATGCGCCGGGCTGAGTGGCCTGGGTTTAGGGTTTAGGGTTTAGGGTTTAGGGGTTTAGGGGTAGCTTGGAAGACGCAGCATCACAAATCCAGAGACTCCAAAAGCCCTTATGGAGTATATTAATATGTTAAATGAGAAACGGGATCCTTGACAATTCGGTGATAGATTATTGTTCAGAACAGGGATTCCTGATGAGGAACCAGGAATGAAAAGGATATTGGGGTCTCTGGAAATCAAAGCCTGCTGAGACACGCCCTCGCTAGTCCCCGTTCTTCAGGAACTGGTGGGCGGCCGCCATGTTCCGTGGCAGTCTCGGAGACTTCCATGACTCAAGGTTCTAGGGCTTAGGGCTGCTCTGATTGTTCGTCCATGTGATGTGACTCAAGTGGAGCACCTGGGCAGTTACCCCTCCGCAGCTCTTCGACTTCGCGACAAGTGCATCCGGGAAAGCAAGATGGTGGCTTGAAGCAACGTGTGGCGTTCGAAGGCAGGTGTTCCTGCAGTAGTGCACCAACGTCGCGGCCTTTGCATCTGCTCTAAACCCTGAAGCCGAAGACCCTAAGACCCTCAGACCCCAACCCTAAACCCTAGCTCAACAGAAAAGCACAAAACCCTAAACCCTAAGCCCTCAACCCCAGACTCCAAGCCCTGTAGACGCGGGGGCCTTCGCTGCGATGGAGCGCCGACAGCGGTTCGTGGCGAAGGCCGTGGAGCCGCTCAGACAAGTAGAAGTCGGAGCTTTGCAACCTAAAATCTGCTTCGGTATACTTGAATAATGTAGGAACCTGATTAAGGAACCCTGGGCCTTTATTGGGGTTCTTAATATGAGCTCTAATATGTTGGGGTTAAAGGGCCAGGGTTTCTTAATCAGGTTCCTACATGTAGGAACCTGATTCAGAAACCCTGGCCCTATAACCCCAAAACATTAGGGTTCATATTAAGAACCCCAATAAAGGCCCAGGGTTTCTTAATCAGGTTCCCATGTTATGCTAGAAGATACTAGAAGATGCTCTAATATACTGCAATGTTCTAGAAAGTACCAGATGTCATGCCCCGAATATACCATACTTGGCTCGAATATACATTAATATGCTAGAATATAGCGTAATATGCTCTACCGTAGCATGACATGCTCCAGCATGCCATGATATGCTCTACTAGAACATACGATGATATACTACATTTCATTGTGAGATATTGTGAGTAAACGCTGTTACTCTAGCATAAGCCCGAAGCGCCCCGCAACCCTGAAGCCGCAAAGGCCAAAACCCTGAAATCTAAACCTCCAAACCCTGCAGGGCTGGAAGCACCAAATCCAAGAGTCAGTTCTAAACCCTAACTGCCTAAAGCCCTTAATATAGTGGCCTGAATAATTACCTGTACCATTTTGGGAGTTCCTTATTATAAATATAGTATAATATACCCCGAAACCCTGTTCTGATTATTAAGGCCCCTACATTAAACCCCAAATCCAGTACCCGGCTTCGAACCCGAGGCAAGCGATCAAATGCTTCGACAGCGGCCAGTGGACCACAGGAGACAGAGGGTTTCCACAGGCGTCCCAGAGTGCCGTGGTATAATATAGGGGCCGTAATAATTAGAGTAGGGTTTTGGGGCCCAATATCCTATAATCATAATAAGAAACTCCCAAAATAGTGTTGGATTTTTGTTTAGGCCCCTACATTAGACCTTAAATAGTAAGATGTTCATAAGCGGTCGCGCAAAACTAAGTGCCGTCGGTGTTTTCCCAGCACTTAACAAGTAAGTAGGATCCTTCGTTGATGAATTCTACCGACCCTGAATGGTCGGATATTTGGTATGAACTATATAGATTCTGAATAGTATGATCCTTGTGAACGCCTACACAGTACCATTCTCTTTATGAAGCGTAAACCCTAAATGGTAGGATCCTTACTTATTGCGAACTACATAGACCCTAGATCGCAGGATGCTTATGATGAATCATACAAAGCCCCAAGCCGTAGGGATCCTTGTTATGATTTAATGAGACCCTAAACCGCAGAATCCTGATGATGAGGTATCAACTATCTAGATTCTATATCGTAGGATCCTTCTTGTGAACTATGCGTGTGCCATGAATGTGTAGACTCGGGCATACTGTAGGGTCTGCCGAGCGATTGAAGGAGTAGAGCTCGTCGCTCCTGTTTGCATGGGTCGCCTCTGTAAGATGACTCACTCCCAGAGGGTGTAATACGGGACATTTACTATAACTACAACAAGGAACCCTAAGGAATGGTATTCGAATCATTAACGCCTCGGGGCAGGTTGTTAGGGGTCGTCCCTCCTCTCAGCTTTGTTTAAGTGTTACTGCCTCCTCAGAGACAGGAATGGCGAAGGCGAAGGCTGCAGTGCAGCTCATGGAGGCCCTGGAGGACCGGAAAGTTGGTCCAGGATGGTTTTGGGTTCAATGGTTCAGGGTGGGGTTTCGGGTGTAATTTACCAATAGCTTTCCTTAGGGTTCCTTGTTAGGTATAATCTGATATACCCCAAAGCCCTATTCCAATTCTTAAGGCTCCGAAAAGACAGCTAAACCCTAAGCCCTAAACCCTAAGCCCTAAGCCCTAAACCCTAAACCCTAAACCCTAAACCCTAAGCCCTAAACCCTAAGCCCTAAGCCCTAAACCCTAAACTGCTCGAAAAGCTGCAGACTCCAGCCGCCCGCAGATTCCATTGAGTTAGCGAAGCATGAGAAGCAGTCAGCCCAAGACCTGGAGCGCTACGAGGAACCTGGTTCTACTGATTAAACAAGTAGATAAGTACATAGATGCATGGATATATAGATTTGGATATGTAGATATGTCTGTATATACAAACAAAAATCTATAGATAGATCGACAGATTAGGTGTAAGATAGGATAAGATACGATACTATACAATATGTGTTACCCCACGCCTAATCCTAAAGGCTTAAGCGATTTCAGCATTTAAGGTTGCCAAAGTCAGCTCTCAACCCGACATCGAAAGCACGCCCGCCCAAACCTTGCAGCCTGCTCGCGGCCGCTTCGGCTCAGACTTTTGGACGGCGACTGCTTGCGATGCTCGCCAGGCTTCCCCCCTTACCATACGAATGCCCCCTTACCATACGAATCAGGTGTCCGGATATGTAGGATTTGGCATTGAGGTTATCGTTTAAGGAACGGTTGTACTCATGGGTGGCCTGATAAAGTCAGGTATTTATCTCATACTCATGACTACCCCTGAACCCACAAGCAATTATGGTTTATCAGGTTCGATCCCGAATTCAGGAATCCTCAACCCTAAACCCGCTAAGGGAGTTTCGAGTTTTTGGTTTTGCCGGGTCCCGCTCGGGGTTGACATGCCTTCGTCAATAATATACAACGATATGCTATACTATCCGATAGTATCCTGTACTATCCTATACAGTACTAATACTATACAATACAATACAATGCTATGCTATGCTATACTATACTGTACTATAACTGACGTTTCAGCGTGGTGGGATGTGATCGGGGTTGAGAGTCAGGGAGCCCAAGGACCCACACTCTTTCCCTATGAAAAGTTGTATAGAACGGTTCTATAGGTCATAGAACCCTTAAAGGGAATCTTTATGAATCCCTACAAACCTCTTCTTGAAGTAACAAGAAGGCATCTGTGAGCCCCGAGACGCGTCGAAGGCGTCTTTGCAGAACTCCTGCGCGGCTCTCCGCACTAACCGTCTGCACGGGGCTGTTCCTGCCGGCTGTTGGCTTCACCAGGCTTGGCAAAGATACCGGAAGTTTCGGAACCAGCAGGCAAAGTGTTCGGATTCAGCTTGATATGAAATGCTGTAAGGCGTTGAGAGCCCCGTTCTGGCTTCCCTTTGTCTAGGTGGGGGTTTCCGAAAATAGGGGACCCTAAGATAGTACCCTAAATAGTAGGATCCTTATTATAAGGACCCCAAAATAAGGTACCTTTATCTTCGGAAACTCCCAGGTGCTTCTTGACGGCCCCGAGCATCGGCTCCCGGCGGAGCATCGCCGTGAGCTCCGTGGCGATGGCGGCGGCGGCGAGCGCAGCCCCGAGCCTTGGCCCGCTCCTGGACAGCGAGGGCAAAGAAGTCGATGGAAGCTCCCTTGAGGCCTATTATACTATTTTATAGTATAGTAGATTATAGTTCCCTTGAGGCCAATTATACTATTTTATAGTATAGTAGATTGTAGCATAGTAGAGTATAGTACAGTACAGTATAGTCTAGTATAGTATAGCATAGTATACTATAGTATAGGACAGTAAAGTCTAGTATAGTATAGTATAGTATAGTATAGTATAGTATAGTATAACACTGTAGTAGACTAGGAGTATACTATGGTATACTCAACTTCGTAAACTAATCGAAAGCCTAATACCCGATACTAGCTGCTAAGCCCTCGTTCCTCGGCCTTAAATCCCTAAGCCCTGAACCCAGAGGGAAAGTCGGTGGCGCTGTACTTCGCCGGCGAGTGGTGCCCCATGTGTACTGCCTTCACACCTGTGCTGACGGAGTTCATGAAGGACGTGGGTGACAAGGCGCGGTTTGCGGTGTGCCGGCAGGTTCCCTCCCATGCTCTGGTCGCAAGGCTGTGGTGTTCGTGAGCTCTGACTTCACGAAAGAGGACCGGCTTTAGAGGTCATGATCTGGTTCTCAAAGCTCCTCGGAAAAAACGGACCTCGCCGGAGGAGTACGATCAGCACCGCTCCCACCTGCCGAGCCAGTTCCTCTCGGTGCCGTTCGGCTCTGAGATGCAGGACGAAGCACCTTGCACCTGGATGTACAACATTCATGTATGTGTATGTGTGCGTATATCTGTATGTAAGTACAAGTAAAAACATATATGTACATACATATACAGACACAGATAGATGGATGCGTAGACAGATAGGCAGGTCCAAGGATCGTCGCCGACTGGTCTATGCGACAATCTCTTCCTTCACCTCGAGTGATCGACCACAGTCTAGACAAGAGGATCTTCGAGTATTTGGGATCGCACATGCTGCAAGCACGACGACTACGAGATCTAGCAATATGGTACTACAGTATAGAACACTGATAGGAAGAAGCCCTCAGCAAGCTTCTCGGCCAGCGTGTGAGGACTCGCTCAAGCGGAAATTCCACCTTTGGGGCGGCCGCGAAATTCCGAAGTATGGGGGCGACCGTCGGGGCGGAATCCCAGCACTGGCCGTTCCCTGAGTCGCGGGAGCTCCTGACCGGCTTGTTAACATATTCTACAAATATATATATATATATATATATATATATATATGACCGGCTTGTTAAGTTGCAGCTTCGAAAATTCAGTTATGGGGCCGAGGTGGTGATCACTCCCGGAGGGGAGGAGCAGAAGTATCTGGATGCCGAATCCAAGGGAGGGGCTGCGCTGAAAGAGTGGTAGGATGTGGGCCGAGTGCTGACACCAGCTCCTGGGCCCCCTTATGGCGAACCGCCTCCGTGGCTGTCATGTCTTCCCCTCGCAAAGAGATCTGTTTTGACTTGCAGATAAATTTAAAACCTCCACGAAGAATGACTGCACACGTACGGCTACTGTGACGACCCGAGTATGTGCACAGCTGCAATGCCAGCATTGGATTTGCTGTCAAATCCAGTTATCAGACGTCGGCGCCGCACATCCGCCGTCGCATTGCAAATCAACAGTGTCCATGTTGGTACAGGGGAGGGGGAGATCAAGCAGTGCGGCTGAGTGTAGGTTCAGGGCGCTTGCTAGCATAGCAGATGGTAAACACACTGGATGTCGTTCACAGCTGTCAGAGATCATCAACTGTGCCAACGCCGGCACCCATGATCAGTGCCATGGCATGCCATGGCCATCACACCATCATCAATATCATCAACACCTCTGAATCCATCACTACGACACTACGACTGTCACCACCAGCATCATTGCCACCATCCTGACCGTCATCAGCGTCACTATTACCACTGTCATCATCGTCATCATCATCATCATCATCGTAATGACCACTGTCTTCATCATCATCATCATCATCATCATCATCATCATCATTATCTGCATCTGCATCTGCATCTGCAGCATCATCTTCACCAGCATCTGCATCTGCATCATCATCATCATCATCATCATCATCATCATCCATCATCTTCATCTGCATCTGCATCTGCATCTGCTGCACCATCATCATCATCAGCATCATCATCATCGTCATCATCATCATCATCATCATCAAAATGGTCACTGTCATCACCATGGCCATCGTCAGAATCGTCATCCCTATCGTATTGACGTTCCTCCTTGTTCTAGTGGTGATCGTCTCATCTGGTACCGGTAGCGGCCGTGGTCGTGTTGTAAGGCCGTAAGGGAGCTCATGGTTCACAAAATGTTCTGCTGCATGTCCTACTCCATGGCACACCGTATCTTCGCATTGGGATCTCATCCAGCGGCATCAGCCCTCTTGTGTTGTCCTTTTGCTGCCCCAGAAAACGTTCCAGCCGGCTCAATGGATTCAGAGCATAAGCTCCAGTTTCCAGACCCAGGTGCCGGCCCTGCAGTTTGCAGCTGCTACTGCCGCTACACCTCGTCCTACTGCTAGCTAGTACTGCTACTACTACTACTACTACTACTACTACTACTACTACTACTGCTACTACTACCACTACCACTAGCACTACCACTACTACTACCACTGCTACTACTGCTACTACTACTACTACTACTACTACTACCACTACCACTACCACTACCACTACTACTACCACTGCTACTACTGCTACTACTACTACTACTACTACTACTACTACTACTACTAAACCTACTACTGCTACTACTCTGCAAGTTTGACGGCGACCCCCGCAAGGAACTGTCC